GCCTGGCCAGAATCGGTGCATGTGCAGAGTTCTTTTTCCTCTACTCCAAATCCCTTATTAATCGTCCCCCGGGTCCGGTTTTTTAAGGCGCCTTTTTTGTAACTGGGGGGGTCCGATTTATTAGGGCGCTTTCTTTGGATTGGAGCTTAGGGGGTCCAGTTTAGTAAGGCGCCCCGTCGAAGAGGGGGGTCCGGAATATTGGGTCGCATTTGGAGGGGGGTCCGGTTCTTTAGGGGGGGGTCGATTAATAAGGGATTTGGAGTAGTTCTTTTTCCTCTATCTGTGGCCCTCGGGCCCTCCGTCCGGCTGGGGCCCGGGGAGCTGCTGGCCTCCTGCCACCCGTGCAGCTTCCTCACCGACGAGCTGCTGCTGGCGGCGACGGCCTCGGGGCGGCCGGGGCCCGTCGTGGTGGCGCCCTGCTGCCACGAGAGGCTCGGGCCAGACGAACTCTGGGGAGGGGGGGGGGATACCACCCACCAAACCACCCCAACCCAACCCGAAGGCCTCAAATTGACCCTCGATTTCCAGTGGGGGGGGGGTCGGGAAACATAGAAAAAACACGTGTGGAACCCTTACCCCCCCCCAAAAAAAACACGGGAAGGGGGGTGATACTCAAACGACGCGAAGATCGGGACAAAATCGGATCGGGATAACTCGAAATCTCTGAGCATCGGCGGCTTTGGAGGATGTATGGGGCGCCGCGGCCGCTCCAGAGCGTTCCGGAACGCTCTGAGAGCGCTCCGGAACGCTCTGGAGCGATTTATCCCGATCCTATAGGCCTTGTTTTAGATACAACATCTGCCGCATGCAGCTGGTCTCGGCCCCGTCGCCGGGCCTGTTCCTCGATACACGGGCGCCTCCCGGCGTCGGGGGGCGCGGGGAAAATCAGCTACACGAGCTGATTTTAAAACCCTCCCCCTTTGCTACCCCCTCGGAGGGCACCAAGTATACACCAACACCGATCCTGGCCCAGGATCACCCTGGGCCCAGGATCGGTGTATATGCCTTCTTGCGCAGGGCAGGAAGGCGTGTACACCGATCCTGGGCCCAGGGTGATCCTGGGCCAGGATCGGTGTTGGTTCGGGGGAGCGTAAGACCCGGGTTGACGACCGCGCCTCGGATTTTGACGAGGAGGAGTTTCGTGGGATGTCTGCAGCGGGAGGCCTCGTCAAAATGCAGGTTCGGCCTCGTCATTTTTTGACGACCTCGTCGGGGATTTCCGAGTCCCCTGTACCCAGGTCTTACGTCCCCTTGATTGGTGTATAGTTGGTGCCTTGCTACCCCCCCCCCTTTCGCCCGGCCCGAGAGGCCCGCCGGGGGGGCCTCCCAGAGCGGAGCGGTGGCCACACCCGGGCGGTGAGAGGCGGGGGGGCGTTTTTTTGCAATCCTTAGTTTTTTTGTTTTTTTGTTTTTTGCAATCCTTGTTTTGCAATCATTTGTTTTGCTTTTTTTTGGTTTGCAATCCTTTTTTTGGCAATCCGCAGTGGCGAGGCGTCCTGGCGGGCATACTGGCTGAGTAGTCGAAGGCCAGACTGTCAGATTGGATTGGGCCCCAAGGGCCAATCTGGCCCGGCCAAACTGGATGATTTGGGTTATTCGCCGGACTGGATTCGCGTTGGCTCCCTCGCCAGATTGCCCCCGTTTGCCAGATTGGGCCTGCCAGATTGGCGCCAGATTGGCTTCGACTACCCAGACTGGGCCCACCGAACAATGTTCGAAGAACCTGTCTTGTGGTTTCCACGACATGTTCTTAGAGCATGCCTGGCCGATATGGTTTTGATTTGATGTCGCACATCGGGCCTGCGTTCTGAGAGCACCGTTTTTGTTCTTAGGGCAGTTCTGGGTTCTACGAATATGTCGTGGTAGGCCTATGGGAATGCCGGGACGGTCGGTCCCTGCTCAAGGGGAGGAGAAGGCCTGCTCAGAAGGCGGCGGGACTCCTCGGAGAAGCCCTCGTGCCGTCTTAGCAGTCGTTGTCTGTTCAGGAGGGGACGGAATGAATCGACGATTCCCAGGAAAATATGGGAAAATATGGGAAGTGGGGGAAAGACATAAACCCATAAAATATAGGGAATCTGGTTACTTGTGTCTATCTATTTGTGTGTGTGTGTCCCAGTTCCCCTTCATCTGTGTGAGTTAGAAAGCCCTCGGCGAGGCGCAGCTGATGGCAAGCATCTCGAGGCTGTGAAACCGCCGAGAACCGTCGAAACCGTCCGAAGACCTCGAACCTCGAACCTGAGAAGGCCTTCTCCTTCTCACTTCCCCCACTCGCTCGCAAGCGAACGCCGTGGGGACACAGTCGAGGCTGATCAGTGGGGTCGACCCTGCCGAATCCTTGTGCCCTGTCTTCAGAGACCCATGCCTTTCACATTCCTATGGCAATGCAGCCCTCGGCAGGGTCTGGCGTTGAGTCGGGCCTGTCCCTCTACAGGGGGAAGATTCGAACGCTGTCAAGCCATTGTGCAGTGACGATTGCTTGACTGTTGTGTTGCCTTTTAGGGTTTTTTTCTATTGTTCTAAATTATTATTATATTGTGTTTTTTATTGTGTTTATTGTTCTAAATTATTGTATTATATTCTTTTGTGTGTGTTTTTAGTCTATTGTGTTTTGTTGTATTAGTCTATTGTGTTTTTATTATAAATTGTGTTTTTTATTAGTCTATTGTGGTTTTTATTGTTATATTCTAATTTTTAATTGTTCTAAATTATTATTGTGTTTTTATTGTTCTAAATTATTTTTCGCCCAACATCCCCCTGTAGGTGGACACGCCCGACCCTGCTCCCTCCCCTGCGCCCTCCCCTGCTCCCTCCCCTGCTCCCCTCCTCCTCCCTCCCCTCCTCCCTCCCCCTCCTCCCCGCTCGCCCCTCCCTTCCCTCCTCCCTTCCCTCCCTCCCTCCCTCCCTCCTCCTCCCTCCCCTCCTCCCTTCCCTCCTCCCTTCCCTCCCCCCTCCCCTCCTCCCTCCCCTCCTCCCCGCTCGCGTGGCCCCTCGCGTGCCCTCTCCAATCGCACTCGACGGCAGCCGGTGGGGGGCGCTCGGGGCGGCCGCACGGCTCCGGGGGGCCCGGGCCGCTCGCCGATGGGGTTTCCCCGGGCGGCGGCGGGCCGGCCGCGCGGGGAGGTCTCTCTCTCGGGAGTGGTGCGGTGGCAGGTCGGTCTCTCGGGGAGGTCTCTCGGTCTCGGGGAGGTCTCTCGGTCTCTCGGGGGCGGTTTGGTCTCGGGGAGGTCTCTCGGTCTCGGGGAGGTCTCTCGGCCTCTCGGGGGCGGTTCGGTCTCGGGGAGGTCTCTCGGTCTCTCGGGAGTGGTTCGGGGCTCCGGTTCGGCTCCACTTCGACTCAGGATTCAATGCAGGTGCGGCTCGGGTTCGGCTCGGGTTCGGCTCGGGTCGACGGACGTAAGAGTGACCTTTCGCCGGAGTGACCTTTGGTGCGGGCACAGATGGGCCCCCGGATGGCTGAACGCGAAGCGGTAGCAGCGGCTAGCGCGCCTGGATTTGGCCTCCTCGCGGCCCCCCCAAAGCCGCGCACCAAAGGTCGCTCTTGCCCAGGGTCACTCTTACGTGTAGCCGATCTCTCGGGATTGGTTCGGTGGCAGGTCAGGGGGCTCCAGTTCGGCTCCACTTCGGCTCCGCTTCGACTCAGAGTTCAATGCAGGTTCGGCTCGGGTTCGACTCGGGTTCGACTCGAGTCGACGGACGTTCGACGCAGCTTCGAAGCATGAGGGGAGCGAGCGGCTTCTAGAAGGTCCCCAGAATGAGCATCGAAAGGGAGAAGGGGGGGGCCGGTAGCACATCATAGGAGCCTGGTGTACCCTCTGGATTCCGTCTTCAGCGTCGACTGGCGTCGATTAGCGTCTGGGAGTCGATGAGGCAGCGCCGATTCAGCGTCGATTGGCGTCGGTCGATTCAGGTCTCTTGAGATTTTCAGGTCACCGCACGGTCCGTCAACGCACCGTGTTTCGTCGGCGTCTCCCTTTTTTTCCCAACCATCCTGTGGTGTTGGGTCCTCGTTTTGAAGAGACGGCGCCCCGCGTTTCTCACCTCCTCCTCCTCCTCCCCCCCCCTCCCTCCTCCCACCATCATCATCATCATCATCATCATCATCATCATCATCATCATCATCATCATCATCATCATCATCATCACCGATTTCGGCACACCCCTCACACGTTTCGTGGCCCCATAGGGAGCTCCACCGAAGGCCCCAGTGGCAGGGTTCGCATGCCTCCCCACCACCCATTTCGGCACACCCCTCACACGTTTCGTGGCCCCATAGGGAGCTCCACCGAAGGCCCCAGTGGCAGGGTTCGCATGCCTCCCCACCCATTTCGGCACACCGCTCACGCATTTCGTGGCCCCATAGGGAGCTCCACCGAAAGCCCCAGTGGCAGGGTTCGCATGCCTCCCCACCACCCATTCGGCACACCCCTCACACGTTTCGTGGCCCCATAGGGAGCTCCACCGAAGGCCCCAGTGGCAGGGTCCGCATGCCTCCCCACCACCCATTTCGGCACACCCCTCACACGCTTCGTGGCCCCATAGGGAGCTCCACCGAAGGCCCCAGTGGCAGGGTTCGCATGCCTCCCCACCACCCATTTCGGCACACCCCTCACACGTTTCGTGGCCCCATAGGGAGCTCCACCGAAGGCCCCAGTGGCAGGGTCGCATGCCTCCCCACCACCCATTTCGGCACACCCCTCACACGCTTCGTGGCCCCATAGGGAGCTCCACCGAAGGCCCCAGTGGCAGGGTTCGCATGCCTCCCCACCACCCATTTCGGCACACCCCTCACACGTTTCGTGGCCCCATAGGGAGCTCCACCGAAGGCCCCAGTGGCAGGGTCGCATGCCTCCCCACCACCCATTTCGGCACACCCCTCACACGCTTCGTGGCCCCATAGGGAGCTCCACCGAAGGCCCCAGTGGCAGGGTTCGCATGCCTCCCCACCACTCATTTCGGCACACCCCTCACACGTTTCGTGGCCCCATAGGGAGCTCGGCACACCCCTCACACGTTTCGTGGCCCCATAGGGAGCTCCACCGAAGGCCCCAGTGGCAGGGTTCGCATGCCTCCCCACCACCCATTTCGGCACACCCCTCACACGTTTCGTGGCCCCATAGGGAGCTCCACCGAAGGCCCCAGTGGCAGGGTTCGCATGCCTCCCCACCACCCATTTCGGCACACCCCTCACACGTTTCGTGGCCCCATAGGGAGCTCCACCGAAGGCCCCAGTGGCAGGGTTCGCATGCCTCCCACCACCATTTCGGCACACCCCTCACACGTTCGTGGCCCCATAGGGAGCTCCACCGAAGGCCCCAGTGGCAGGGTCCGCATGAGCTCCACCTCCATGGCAGGTCCGCATGCCTCCCCACACCCATTTCGGCACACCCTCACAGTTTCGTGGCCCCATAGGGAGCTCCACCGAAGGCCCCAGTGGCAGGGTCCGCATGCCTCCCCACCACCCATTTCGGCACACCCCTCACACGTTTCGTGGCCCCATAGGGAGCTCCACCGAAGGCCCCAGTGGCTGGGTTCGCATGCCTCCCCACCACCCATTTCGGCACACCCCTCACACGTTTCGTGGCACCATAGGGAGCTCCACCGAAGGCCCCAGTGGCTGCGTTCGCATGCCGCCCCCACACCAATTTCGGCACACCCCTCACACGTTTCGTGGCCCCACAGGGAGCTCCACCGAAGGCCCCAGTGGCTGCGTTCGCATGCCGCCCCCACACCAACTTCGGTGCACCCCTCACACGTTTCGTGGCCCCATAAGGAGCTCCACCGAAGGCCCCAGTGGCAACGTTCGCATGCCGCCCCCACACCCATTTCGGCACACCCCTCAAACGGTTCGTGGCCCCATAGGGAGATCCACCGAAGACGGTACTCACACCAGCATTACTCACAACTGCATATGGTTGGGTCCTTCGCCAGGCTAATTTAGCTGTATGTGCCGCGCACCGAGAAATCTTATGGTATATGCGTCGTGGCGGGCGCTTTCTGGCCACACCGATTGGGAAACGATGCGCTGCAAGATGGGTATACGATATGGTGGGGTCGGACGCGCGCCTCCAAGGAGGACACGTAGTATCAGAATGTCTCTGTGCGTCCCGTCTTTTTTTCGGGCGACGAGATCTGCACTGACATCCACCGCTCCTCGCAGGCCCCTCCTGCGCCCGCAAGCGGTGCATCTATGTGCGTCCCTGGCCGAGCCGGGACGGCGTACGCACCGCTCGTCTGCCCGGGATGGGCCTGGCCAGGCGCGGTGGATGTTTGGCTGCATCTTCGGGGGGGCCTCGCCTGTCCCCCAGCATTGGTGTCGTTTGCTTGGGCCCGACGCGGGCTCGATGCGGACTCGACGCGGACTTGGCGTGGATTCGACGCGGATTCGACACGGAGTCGACACGGATCCGACGAGGCCGACATGGATTCGACGCGGAGTCGACGCGGATGGGGGCCGCGACGGGACAGACAAGGTCCCTTAAGGATGCAACATAATGGATGGGCATAGACTTAGTCGCCCTAGTTTCTTGCACATCGGGCGCCTCGACCTTTTCGAGACACGGGCCCCCGACCTCTCGACCACCTCCCCGTGACCGGCTTCGCATCCCGTGCTGTGAGTTGTAGTTGTTGACGGTCCCGAGGCCCGTCAAGGGCCCCGACAGGCCGAAAGCAGTTGAAAAGAGTGCGCCCCGATCTTCTCGAGGCGCCCGACGTCTCGATTTGATGTTTTCCACTCCTCAGCCCCAGAGGTGCCGACCCCTTGCCTGGAGTCAGTTTTTGTTCGCTCGGGTCCGTGTCTGATGGTCCTGGGGCCCGAGGGCGGTCCCCAGAGGCCGAAGTCATTGAAAGACGCCAGGGTCGAACAGCTCATATCGTTGGAGAGGTCACATCTTCGGACTTGAAAGATCACATCGTCTGTCAGAGCCCCGAATCATCAAGGGTAACTCGGGTCAGGGATAACTCGGGGTCGTTTTTCGGGAATCCGAACCCGAGTTATCCCGGACCCGAGTTACCCCGGATAACTCGGGCGTCCAGAGCCCCGAATCATCAGGGGTAACTCGGGTCAGGGCTAACTCGGGTTCGTTTTTCGGGAATCCGAACCCGAGTTACCCCGGACCCGAGTTACCCCGGATAATTCGGGCGCCCAAGTCTGGGTTTGTCTAGGCCTCCCAGATGGGGTCGGAGTAGATGGGGTCGAAGGATGGCGCCGCATCGCCGATGCATCGGCGATTCGGCTCGATGCGACTCGATGCGGAGCCCGACTTTCGCCACGCCGGTGGCGCCAATGCAACGCCGATGTATCGCCGATGCGTCGCCGATGCATGGCCGATGACCCCATCTGGGAGGCCTCCAGTTTGGGAGGCCCGGGAGAGGCAGCCGGCCCTCCCCGAGCGGCCGTGGATGCCCCGCTGGCGGTGGGAGCGGTGGCCGTGGCTCCAGGGCGGCGCCGTCAACCGCGAGGGCCGGGCCGCCATCGACGCCGCGCGCGTGGCCCACCTGGAG